TTTTTTTGAAATCTTTTTTTAAATGTGCGGTGTTTTTATGAAATAAGTCTTGTTGTTGTGCGTTTTAAATATTTATCTATCGTTAATCTGGTCGTTGCCCAGTGGCAGTGGGCTTTCTAGTGCGCGAGGTGCTTTTATAATAAATAAATAAATATTTCCAACACTCACACCAATTAGCTTAGCCCCAAAGTTAGCAGTATAAGGCTTGTGTTATGGGATACTAGGGTAACGGATATAATACATATACTGTATATATATAATATACTTATATATGTACAGTATATCCTTACTTTTCCTTACTAATATTATAAAGGCGAAAGTTTGTTTGGATGGATGTATGGATGGATGTTTGTTCCTCTTTCACGCAAAAACTACTAAACGGATTTTAATGAAACTTTACAGTAATGTAGCTTATAGATCAGAATAACACATAGGCTATAATTTATAAAGATATTGTGTGAATTGTCCAAAATATAACGATAAATGTCATTTAAGTCTGAAAAAATTCTGCAATCTGCGAGCTATTCAGGCGTGTAAGGATAAAATTGTCTAAAAAATATCCCGCAACAGCATATGTCTATCTTTTATGGTTGACTCACAATAACACGTGTAATTATATAAATAAAGTCATTCTTTATAGCACAAGCCTGAGAACAAAAAGTATAGTTTACACTACAGCTCTACACCGAAGCGAAGCGAGGGCGGGCCACTAGTGTATTATATTTATATAGGAATACATATTAAACATTCATGACTGGAGTACAAATGCTCGTATTCATCACACAAACATCTGCCCCACCGGGATTCGAACCCGGGACCTCTCGAGTCGGCGACACCATGGAACCCGGGGTACAAACCACTCGGCCACGAGGGTCGTCAAGGCTTTAGTTACAAACAATAGAGAAAAAGTTTCTAAATCACGCATTCCTTCCTTCCTTCAAAATTCCTTTATTCGCGTTTTAACTATTCGAGTATTAAAAAACACGACGGGTTGCACTCCGGGAGTGCCGGCAGAAGTGAAAACTTGAATATTAACGTTGTGCATTTCTAATATTTTGGAATGGTTAGGGAATAATTTTGCACGAATTGCTTTAATATTCAGTATAATAGTACTATCATTTATGTGGTAGAATACAACATTTATTTAATGCGCTGTCAAACACAAACATGACAATTTATATTACATTAAAAAAGTTTATCTCTCAGAATAATCAACTTACATGAATCACGTTTAAGCGCACTTAGCGACATCTATTGTAAAAAAATCAACTTACATGAATCACATTTAAGCGCACCTAGCGACATCTATTGTAAAAAAATGCATTTTCTTCACTTCATAAAGCTGCCACCCGGACGTCCTAGACAGAGACTTATTATTAAAATACGATAAAATAAAATGTTACTATGTTTCGCCCAATATATTGAAAGTCAACTACCTTTCCAATTTTATTGTTTTCGTTAGAACCTCGATCAGGCCACGTGTCATGACGCGATCAGCCCACGTGTCCCGACGCGAGTTTAAAATTTTTTACCCATACAAAAAAAAGTGTACGACGCCGCTAAAGAAGTTTTCACTTCAAAAATTGCGACCGAATTCTTATATTCGCGGATTTAATCGAAATAAAAAGGTCTTGATACCCTTTGTTAACGCATCGGCAGATGGAGTAATTATAATAGAAAATAAAATAGACTTTATTATAACTCAGCCTACAGTATGTTATCAAATGCTTTCGCCGGCCAATGTAGATAGATAGATAACACTTATTGTGCACACCACATTAAATTTATACTGTCTAACACTATTTGTATTTATACTGTATGACACAGCAATCAAAATGCAGGTAAACAATTAATGTATATTTAATAATTATGTAATGAAAAGTGACTTCATGAATCACCTCTGAAGTCATTTTTCAACTTGACGACTCTGTAAATAATAAAACAGGGAGAAAAAAACAGCCCTTGCTGAGTTTCTTGCCGGTTCTTCTCAGTACATGGTCTCCCGCCTAAATAATATTAATCTATGCCTAAAATATATTGTTAAATGCTGCACATGCACATATGTAATACTTAAACGTTCCGCCATGTCCTTTGGTAAGAGCCGCTTTGCGTCACTCATCTTTTCATTGATTACAAAAAATTCGATCAAGTCACACGTCTCTTCCTCTGAGTTCCTCATTTTTAGTGTCGACAGACAAAAATCAGTTACAAGTTGCCAGATTACGAAGAACGCTGACACCGCCGTGTTACAATTCATACAGTACATGTTGTAATATGACCATAACGGCGACATTGCACAAACGTGAGAACCACACGTACACCGCCGAGGCACGGTAATAATATCATACAGTATTCTATCTTCATACAAACGGTCGGAAAGCGAGTCATACCTACGCCACTCGAGTTCGATGTGCTCTCGGCGGGCACCCAGTCACGAATGCGCCGCCGCGCCGCAACGACGACCGAACGGTCTGAATTGTTTTTTATGCAGTTAGCCGTGCTTAAACGTGTGTTTTGTATTGTAAATATTTGATTAAATTAAGTAGATACCTACATAATTTAGTATGGAAAAGAACAAACGACGATCAATATCGTACAACAGCCCAATTGCTGTTTTTGGTTGGGCAAAATATCTGGAATAATATATAAATATTGGTTAGGATGAAAAAAGAGATAAACGAGTAATCTACCTACACTCGCGTTAAAAACAAAACTACATAAAATACTGTAGGCGGGCGGCCCTACCGCGTTCGCAGCAGCGCTCGGCCGTAGGCATTTATTTTCAAGGACAGGGCGGAGTCATAATACTGTATAGATAATATTACCGTGGCCGAGGTCCCCGCACCTCTTCGATGCCTCATGCTGCCCGAAGCCTCGCCACTTCGTTTCACTTTTTTTTTATTTTTTTTATTTATCATTATAAACAGTAGTTACAACTTTATATTTACAGCATTAGCAAAAATTGTGTGTGTCAGCTCCGACGCACGACCGGAGTTTACACTCTAAATACGATTGTCTTTGAACAGACACAAAACAAAATCAAGTCCGAAGAAGTCGGTTACAAGTAGAGATATACCTCAGGAATCGTCCCATGGTTTCGACTATCATAGGTTCCATGTCACACATTTTATCATCTAACATCAGCGATATTCATCATATATTTTATTATGTATTTCTGGAAACACACAATTTCCAAAATATCACACCAGTCATCATTTTGTAAATATGTATTATAATTCAATCTGTACTGAAAATCACTATTCCAGAGTGCTGGACACTTACCGGCATTTCTCTATATTCTGTTATTTATTTGTTTTCATTAATTTTGCTCCGATTTTATCTATTTTTAGTTTATTTATTTTATTGACATTTGTGACAACTTAATGTTTTTTATCCGTTGCCATGGCTAAAAGCGAAAGGTGCGCAGATGAGGTTGCGCACAAAAACGTAACGAGGTTATTAATGTCATTCATCGATAGATTTTACTCCTCACATTTTTCTCATACCAGGGGCCCGGTTTTTAAGCAAATCGATTCTTAAGGAGTAAACTCCAAAAACCACAGAGGTTTGTAGCAATGCTAATTACACGCCAGGGACTAACTTAAATAGTAAATTAAATACAAAGTACTGTGTTTATAGGATACAGTTAGGTGCATTCCAAGGTCTTGTAATAATAGTCTTTCAACTTGTATTTAACATTTAACAATTGACTAAATCCGCGGGTAGTTCGTTGATCATACGCGCTAGGAAGGCGGACTTCGATCGGGTCAACTACCTAGTTTAAGAATTATAATTGTAATTTTTATAACCTGATGTTTACAATCTTAACTAACCGCAAACCCATAAATCATGGCACTCAGGCCTAGGCGTAGGCGCTTATCGCCTACAGGCGAAACCCGACACCTGTTTTTTGTAACGCGTCTTTGTTTACACAATTGGCACGTGGTTGTGAGAGCTATTGGTATTTTATGTTTTTATTTGGTAAGTTATAATAGAATGTGCAAATAACCAAAAAACCTGGACATGAAATTTTAAAGATATACTCCATTTTACCCATCTGAACGCCTTTTTTTTATCTTTCCCGAGTTTACCGTAACGTAATTAAAATAGATTATAGACATGACGCATTGTATAGACACTGTTTTATAGTAAATTTTATGAAGAATCCAAATATATATAGTTTGTGTGGGGTATTCTTACGAAATAAAAGAGAAATCGGCAAAACAATGCAATCGTTCCCACCCAGCGGGAATGTTGACAGATGACGTAATCAATTTGACGTAAAACGGCGCATGACGACCATCAACTGAGAGGATAATAAATTAGTATTAGAAATTATTTTGATTCTTTTTTAACTCTTACGGCTGCTGCATATTTATCTCACGTCTCTTCTTCTGTATTTCTCATTTTTAGTGTCGACAAACAAAAATCTAGTTTCGGCGTGAAAATATTAGTGTTACCACTGAAAGTAAAAGTTCTTGAAATCCTTGCCTAAGCCTAACAATAATAAACTTGAATTAAATTGATTGCCTTAAAAATTTTTTTCTTTATTTTGCCACCTTGCAACGTATCCCTTTTAAGCCCATATTAATTACCACTCCATATTCACGGTTCTGTATTCGCGGCATATTTCTGGAACGTATACCCCGCGAATAAGGAGCTTTTACTATAAACTTATTAATATTTAAATCTAAAGAAAAGTTTACTAGAAAAAAATAACGCGGACCAGGCCGCGGACGGGACTCGAACCCGCATCCTTCTCTATCCGGGCGAATGCACTGACCATTATGCTACCACGGCCCTATTAGCCGCGTCGAAATTTTCCTAGCTTTAAGCTGCAAGGCAGCGGCCATCTCTTCGCATTGTAGGTAATCCACAATGTCAAATGAATACTTTTTCAAGTATTAAACATTTGAAAGAAGAAATAGCAATTATAGTTATGATTTTATTTATTTTTTAAGCATTTAACTGTTAATATTTGTCTATCTTAACGGACTTACCTCATATTTGAAATGAACTGTTGAGCATTGAAGCAAGGTGCCCATCAGCTTGTGTGGGTTCCAAGTCACAGAGTCAGCCCTGTGGAAATAAATACTTATTATCATCAGCCTAGTAATGTCCCCTGGGGCACAGGCCTCCCGTATTTATATATTTTGGTTACATTGAAAACCAACAGCTTATCTTAATAAACTAGAAATGAATTGTAGCGACAAAGAGCCAATTACAGGTTCTCACATCTAGACAGAACTTAAAATTAAAAAGAAACTATTTGCACTGATCTGATCCAATGTAAAAAAAAAATTATATATAGTTTTATAAATGAGGTCTTTATGATTAACTAGCGGCCCGCCCTCGCTCGGTTTAAAATTGACAAAGTTTCATACAAACTTTCATTCCCTATTTTATCCCCTTGGGGGTAGAATTGATCAAAATCCTTTGTTAGCGGATGCCTATGTCATAACATCTACCTGCATCTAAAGAAAAGTTTACTAGAAAAAAATCCACCCTTCGCAATCCGGGCGAATGCACTGACCATTATGCTACCACAGCCCTATTCGCCGCGTCGAAATTTTCCTAGCCTTAAGCTGCAAGGCAGCGCCATCTCTTCGCATTGTAGGTAACCCACAATGTACCTGGTAAAACACATCTACCTGCATGCCAAATTTCAGCCCGATCCGTCCAGTGGTTTGGGCTGTGCGTTGATAGATCACTATGTCAGTCAGTCAGTCACCTTTGAGTTTTATATATATAGACTAGCTGACTCGGCGAACTTCGTACCGCCCAAAAGTAATAATTTGCAATAAATTAAAATTGCGACTATAATTTGAGATTTAAACTATCTCTCAAGTTGGATCGAACTGCACATGGTGTGCGAATTTTATTATAATCGGTTCAGTGGTTTAGGAGTCCATTGAGGACAAACATTGTGACACGAGATTTATATATATTAAGACTAGCTGACTCGGCGAACTTCGTACCGCCCAAAAGTAATAATTTGCAATAAATTAAAATTGTGACTATAATTTGAGATTTAAACTATCCTATCTCTCAAGTTGGATCGAACTGCACATGGTGTGCGAATTTTATTATAATCGGTTCAGTGGTTTAGGAGTCCATTGAGGACAAACATTGTGACACGAGATTTATATATATTAAGATAAGAAAGATAAGATAAGATAAGATAGATAACAGAACAACAAATTACGCATCTGTTAATTATGATCTCCGAAAAACAAACGAGCAATGATACAACTAATCGACGCTTCGCTAGTGTTAAAGAGATCTTTACCTGTCTTGATAGTGATTTACATATTTTGATAGTGAATTGAAGCTGCTTCTTGCTCGACCAAGAAAAGCGTTCTGCCGATTTGATAGGAGTTCCGGGCAGTTAACAGTACCAGTAGCGATCCTACTGAGAAAAACCAAGTCCGCAATTTCGCGACGCATCTCTAAAGGGAGAAGATGATGCTTTTTGCAGAGTTCCCCGTACCGACCTGAATCATACCGTTCCTTAGTACGAAAGCACAGATATCTTACAAACTTCCTCTGGATGCCTTCAATGCGAGATATATAGGTGGAATATCTAGGGTTCGAGACCTGAGATGCATACTCTAGATCAGGGCTTAAAACCGGTTTCAAAAATACCGGTAAATAATTGTTAATACCGGTTTTTGGTAAAGGTTTCGTTCGGAGCGTGTCCTAAATGAAAGCGGTACCTTAATAAACCGGTTTAATCCAGAGCAACAGTGCAAGCTTCGGCATCGCTTGCAGTTTGTTTAGTTTGAACTAATCAAGCCACAACTTGTTAATGCTCAGAGATTGATGCATTTATTGACACGTTTGCTAGCGTCTAGTGAGTCAAGTTATTCATTTTGTAGTTGTGTATTTATTTATGCCATCAGTAAGCGAAATGAAACCTTTTAAAAACCGCTAAATTGATTCAAAACCTATTTGATTGCGCTTTTTAGGAAAACCGGTTTTTTAAGGTTGAGGTAGAGCCAAACCTAAATATAACGCTCCTAATGTACTTGACACTGATTTAGGTTCGAAAATTAACCGGTAAACAAGTCCTGCTCCAGATGACTTCTAACAAAGGTACAATATAAAATATTGAGTATCTTGGCCTGACTAAAGTCTTTGGAGTTGCGCATAATAAACCCGAGCGCCTTAGAGCTTTTCGCGATCACCTTATTGATATGCATATCGAAGAGTACCTTCGAATCGTGAAATACCCCAAGGTCTCTCACAGCTATTTGTCGTTTTAATATGGGATTGTTTTAGTTTGTAGTCAAACAAAACCATATTTCGCCTCCGACTATAAGTGACAACACTACATTTAGAAGGATTAAGATCTAAATGATTGCTTAAACAGTAGCTGTCAAGATGCAATAGATCTTCTTGTAACGGACGTGCGTCTTCAGACGTAGATAGGTGCTAAGACTTTCATATAAATATCCTTTCTTAAGTAAACAATTACTCACGTGTATTTTAAATTTATGACAAGGTAAATCAAGAATATCATTAGGAATCTTATTAAAGAAATGTACACCTTGACCCATAAATGATGCATGAACCTTCTGTAGCCTGTAAGTTGGTAACTTGAGTTTATTTTTATTCCTTGTATTCAAAGAGTCATCTGTCGGACCTATTTATAAAAAAACAAATAATTGAATGCTTGGAATAATAATATATTGAACTGACTAAGTTCAGCTCCAATCTTATATATCTACTAGCTGACCCAGCGAACTTCGTACCGCCATAAAAAAATTTAATTAAAAAAACATTGTCCAGCGGACAAAATTGTGAATCTAAACCATTCTCAGATCCCCTTGAACACACACAAAAAATTTCATCAAAATCGGTCCAGTCGTTTAAGAGAAGTTCAGTGACATACACACTCACAGAAGAATTATATATATAAAGATATATATAAAACTCAAAGATGACTGACTGACATAGTGATCTATCAACGCACAGCCCAAACCACTGGACGGATCGGGCTGAAATTTGGCATGCAGGTAGTTATGACGTAGGCATCCGCTAAGAAAGGATTTTGATCAATTCTACCCCCAAGGGGATAAAATAGGGAATGAAAGTTTGTATGAAACTTTGTCAATTTTATACCGATCGGGCTGAGACTTTGCATGCAGGTATAAGAAGAATCATAGATGAATGTCATTGTGTATAATACAAGCCTGAGAACAAAAACTGTAGTCTACACTTCAGCTCTACGCTAGTGTTTAATATTCATGTATTCGTGACGTATGGCACCCCTTGTAAAGGGTGCAGGCGAGTGCCTGAGCTAATAAATGATAACACCTCATGTTTGACTTTCCGATCGCGACCCCTGATGGGAATAGGATTATGGCCTCCGATCCAATGTTTGCGGTTTTTGAGATTTTCAATCGGAATTTGCATAAACAGTGTTAATGGATTACGCATCCATTCGGTTTTTTGGAATTTTGAACAAGGCGCGACTTTAACTGATTCACACGTTCACACGTTTTGACCTAGGACCTAGTTGGCCTAACTTGCTTTGTTTTATTTATGTAAATAAATTAATAATCTCAATGCATGGACATAGTGTTTCTTGCAGTTTGTTATTTGATGGGTATTAGTTAGTTTTTGTAATAGTAATACCATATTACTGTACCTATCTAATGCCGCTTCCTATATACTAAATATAAAATTTATTGTTACTGTATATCTATATCCTAAATGATGTAATGGAAGGTGACTTAGTATCTCTGAAGTCATTTTTCAACTGGACGACTCTGTATATCACAATACAGGGAGAAAAAAGCAGCCCTTGCTGAGTTTCTTGTCGGTTCTTCTCAGTACAAGGTCTCCCGCCGTAGTTTTGCGAACCGATGGCGTAGCTTCTTGACCTTCACAAGTGCTTGTAACAACCTAGACTGACTTTTCATTCCAAATATGAATATTTCTAGGTCACGGCCCAATCTCTCTGTTCCATCCATAGGGAAGGCGTGTGCCCCAACAGTGGGAAGATTAATACGCTGATGATGAACTTCCATACCGAGCATGGTGATATTGCTCTGTAGCGCTAGTGCTGTGTCCTGAGGAGAAGCATGGGAATGGAAAGAGGACGTTTTTGTCGTGAAAGCGCAGACTTGGGTTTTCTTAGCATTAGACTTGTAGGAAGGCCAAAGGGGAAGTTCCTCCGAGCTGGGTGATGTTAGCTCGGCGGCCGCGGCCCGACTGATATTGGTCGGGCATCGTATATATGGAGCGTAAGGCTCCGAATTTCTCTTGCGCGTTGCAGGCTTCCATACGTTGTGAATGCAGCGCTGGTAGCGCCATCTCTTAAGGAAGCGAGTGACTATTTCCTCTATGTTATATTATATGCGGGGCATGTAGATTTCGCCGCCACAGACTTAAAACCTAGGGAAAGACTGCAAACGCAGACTAGCGCATTAATTGTCCTTGCAAAGAACTGAGAGCATAAGATAGTGTTTTAGTCACCCATCATTATCATATGACTGGTCGTTGTGAAAGTTCCATAGCTTTTGGACGTAGTCTCCTCCATATCCTTCCAGTTTAGTCTGTCCCTAACCAAATTCATCCAATCAGAATCCGTAACGATTTTATTTGAGAATGCACATTTATAGAGTTGGTAGAATTCCATAAAATACAGTGGTTAATATTCGTTCTACGACAAATATTGACGAAGTTATGACCAAATTACTAAACGAATTTTCGGCTGGCCGCGTGGTGACTGTGACATCACGGAGCTCTAGCGCCCGGGCGTGAGCGAACGTAGAGACGCTACTGAAGTTCGAACGCAATGAACCACGATCAAGCTCTGTGATGTCACACGTTTCGGCTGCCGGTGAATTTTGGTGTCGATTCTGGCAGGATTCTCTAAACTTATAACTAAATTTAACATCAGTACCATTTGTACCCTCAGTAGTAACATTTGTACCCTATAATAATGTTAGACCTAATTTACCACATGAAATGCAATAAAATTTCTGATTTCAGTCTGTCCTTTTTATTCTGTATAGAGAATGAGAAGGATACACTGTTGTCAAATTTAAGTTTAGCTTTAGAGAATCATG